ACCGCATATATCATATAAAGATTACTTAACAAATCTAAAAGCCATAGGAAAAAATTGCTCAAATGTTGGAATTGGCAATTGGGAAAATTGACAGAGATAAAAAAAGCCAGAGATAATAAATTACATGCATACGAAATGGAAGAAGGCCGGAGGGACCTAGCAACAATCGCGGAAAATGTAGACTAAGGACACAGTTTTATCAAGTATCTACAAAATAGATCAAGCTATAAAAAATTATAAATATTTCTGTAGGATAAAGCAGATTAACTAAGTACTGGGTGGAGCAGTAATATCGAACTATCAAGGACCTTTATCACATTTCAAATGAGAATATCATAGCACTTAAAAAAACATTAAAAAATAGTCAAATATTTACTTTTATATTTTAATAAACTTAAAAGCAATAATACAAATTCAAAAGTTCATTTTGCTCTATGCGGATGTCGATTTTCACATCAAAATAGGACAGGAAAAATCATCACTTAGATTAGCTTTTTAATACAGAACAGTACAGATCATAGATCAACAGCAATATAACATAAATAAGTAAACCTTACTTCTTTGAGCATTTTAAGAAGTTGTATATCCTTTAGCTGCTCTTTTATTTCCTCTTCATTCATCAGCAATGCCCTAACCCTACTTTCACAGAGTTCGACGACGACAACATCTGGATGAGTGTCTTCAATTATCTATAAGAAGATAAAGTAATACATAATGGACCTTCTCCACATCATCTATGCTTTCCTGGCTGAAATGAGATGTGCCAACCAAGTAAACTTTGGTTCCATTAGGGCATTCAATGAGAGATATTGTTTCAGACAATTCTACATTTTTGCTTCTTATTTTTATAATATCATCGTAATATGCAGGAATATCAGTTTCTGAGATATCACATGAATCCGAATTAGAGTTAACACAAATAGTGGGAGAAGACATACGTGTGGTGAGAGAGAGGCAATTCAAAATAACGCTGATTTATAATAATTTAAACAATAACAACATTTTTATGTTAATAACTGATATAAACCTTGTTGTTATTTTTTTATTTAAATTAAATATGATAGAGATAATATAAACGAATATAGTATGGAGAAAAGGTTTTCGTGTAAAATAAAAGTAGTCATGGTAGGCAAGCCAGCGTATTTTACATATTGATACTTGTAAAAATAGTTGAGTAAAGCGTGCAACCCATAAACCCTGTTTACTTCTGTAAACTTTTTACAGCATAGCTATTTTGCTCATTATTAGCATAACATATTAGATTCTTGCAAGAATTTCCGCTGGTGTCTTCCTGCACAGCTACACAATGTATGCATAAAAATCCACTCCTGTCATTCATTTATGTCTACAGATTTATAATAAAGTGACCATTAACCATTACATGAGTAAATCATTAGCCTTAACTCATAAAAATTGATTTAGGTTTGATAGTTTGGTTTTTGTGGTGAAAGTATTAGGCTCTTCGACTCCAATGAAGTTTACACGAATGAATTTTGATGTAAGAATTACTAATTTAGGTCGCCAAAATTTTCGAATTCTGCATAATGTTTTTTTTAATAATCACTATCCCCTCAGTTGAGCTTGGGGATGGCAAAGACTATTAATAACACAAACTCAATTGCAGGTATTTCGGTGTTATTCTAACTTTTGAGTAAAACTACATAACCATGGTAATCGTAAACATCTGTCAAAACAAAGGTCAGATAAAGTAAGTGAATTTTAAACTTAAATTATTCTTAGAAGTGGATTTAACTCGTTATCGCAATTTGGTTTTGTTGTCAGGGCGACTTAGTAAAACGCACCTAGTCCGAAGTCGTCTGCCATAGAAGTTGTCACGATTTCTGGCATCAGAAAGTGGACTTAGTACACTTTCAAAAATTTCGCCGGCATCGTAGTCGGCATCATCAGTGAGTTATGCCATTCTCCGCACCAGGCTAAGAACTTGTCAAAGAGATAAGTGAAGTCAATCGCTCGACAAACATTATACCAAAACGGTTACACTACCACTCCTCTTTCTGTCCTGGTCTATCTCTCTACTTTTTACCCTCTTATCCAACTCCCACCCTATCACAACTTCTGACTTGATTACATTCCACTAGTCAAAACGTGTGCCATTTTGTGGAAAATCTAGTGTGGCCTCATCACACTTGCTATTCACCCCGCCCCCTCTCTTACGATCGGCTGATCCGACTCGGGCCTCTAATCAAGACCCCCCCATTGTCTCGTAGATATTTTGCTTATCTTTCTGGCTTAAAGACTTCACTCGGTTCCAGTCCTAGTGTGCATTTTAATACAGGTGCTATTCCTAAAGGATCTAAAGCAGGTACACTGCCGCTTCACTGAGCAG